ATACAATGATTAGGAAAAATAAGCAAAGGGTGAATTACAGAGTGTTCACATTCTTAAAAAGTACTTGTCAGGCTTGTACCACTCTTTTATTCTAGGGGTTGAGTTATCAAGCCCTCTACCCCCTCTTTTTTTTTTTAAAGATTTTATTTATTTATTTGACAGAGAGAGAGAGAGACAGCAAGAGAGGGAACACAAGTAGGGGGGAGTGGGAGAGGGAGAAGCGGGCTCCCCGCTGAGAGGCTTGATCCCAGGACCCTGGGATCTTGACCTGAGCGGAAAGGCAGCCCCTTAACCAGCTGAGCCACCCAGGCGCCTGGCCCTTTACCCACCCCTTTTTGAGAAAGGTGTTAATTAGCCTGCCATTCAAATTACCCCAGACCTAGAAGGATCTTTTTCAATCTGAAGGAAGTTCCAAACTGGTGTCTCTAAAATCAAGGTCCAGCTATCTGGCCTGGCCCTCTGCTTTCCCTAGGAAAAGCCAGTTGAGGTCATTGCTTGACAGAATCCAGGCTTGACCGACCTGTTGAGATGAGGCACTCAGTTGAGAAGTGCTGAGAGGAGGTGTGGGTTTTACAATGCTGACAGCAGCCGGGGAGGGGCGAGTCAATGTCTTTTGAAAAGGCATATGCTTCACTGTAATTTTATACTTGGACCATTTAAAAAAATCAATATTTCTGGGGCGCCTGGGTGGCTCAGTCGGTTGAGCATCTGCCTTTGGCTCAGGTCATGATCCTAGTGTCCTGGGATTGAGTCCCGCATCAGTCTCCCTGCTCAGCGGGGAGCCTGCTTCTCCCTCTGCCTGCCTCTCTCTCTCTCTGACAAATAAAAAAATAAATAAAATAAAATAAATCAATATTTCTATAGCATAAATGGCATAAAAATGCATGACTAAACTGACTGTTGGTGATGCACTAAAAATGCCGTTCTTGTCTATCTGGTGGGCTGGGGTGGGAAGTGGAATTATTGGAATCTCCTGCAGATAGGAGATTTTTATATGTATCAGAAAGGGGCATAGATTTTTTAAATAGTTGAGAAACATTGTGGAATTTTTGGACAAACCCTTGGTATAGCTCAAATCTTTCTATTGCTCCAGATCCTCAAAGGGATTTCAAGTAGCTTAACCTACAGTTTTCCAACCCAGAAAAAAGTGAGCTGCAATATGCAAATTTCTAAACTATAATCAAATTCTTTCAGGAAGGTTTTTTTTTTTTTTTTTTTAAGCCACAAAATTGGAAATAGTATATGTGGCACATTTAACTCTTAGTATGTTCTGACAAGTAATAAACTAATGCTTATAATGGTCCCTGAACTATTTGGATGAAATATGGTTTGCATCAGTGAGTGTGTGTATACATATACAATATTATAAAGGAAGATTTATGATAACTCACTGACTAGTGAAAGATTGCTTCAGAAAACATAAATTACCATAGTTCCAAATAATAGCTTTCCCTGAGGGAGCTTTGAAAGAATTTACATTTGAATTGGATCCTGAAACTCTAAATGTGAATTTATCACCCATTCTTCAGGAAATATTGTGGTTATATATAAGATAGCACTATAGAAATGAAATTCAATGACAACAAATTAGTTTGGTCTTTTAAAAATTATTATCAGAATTATGTTACTTTACTGAGCTGATTCTTTCTCTAAATTCAGCTTGTCTTTATAGCATCAAGAATCTGACCTCAAATGGATTCCATAAATAATCACTTCTAATAAATACCACAATTCTTTGAAATGTAAAAAGGACTCTCACATGGAGAACTCAACCAGGAAGAAAAGCTGGGAATAACACAGCTTAATAACTGGCAAAATTCTTCACCTTGACTTTTTTTTCTTTGTTTCTTTCTTTGTTTCTTTGTTTCTTTCTTTCATTCAAGATTTTATTTACTTATTTGAGAGAGAGAGCAGGCAGGAGCAGGTTTGGGGGCCAGAGGGAGAGGAAGAAGCAGACTCCCTGCTGAGCAGGGAACAAGACATAGGGCTCAATCCCAGGACCCTGAGATCATGACCTGAACCAAAGGCAGACATTTCACCAACTAAGGCACCCAGGCACGCCTTCACCTTGACTTTCCAAATCTGTATTTCCATTGTCAACAAGATTAATTTAGATTCATCTGTTTCATCATTCCAAAGGATGAAATTGGTTATAGGAAATAATTATAGGAAGTTAATTTTTCATTAAGAGCTAGTGGAGAGGGTGCCTGGGTGGCTCAGATGGTTAAGCGTCTGCCTTCGGCTCAGGTCATGATCCCAGGGTCCTGGGATCGAGTCCCACATCGGGCTCCCTGCTCCTTGGGAGCCTGCTTCTCCCTCTGCCTCTCTCTCTCTCTCTGTCTCTCATGAATAAATAAATAAAATCTTAAAAAAAAAAAAAAAGAGCTAGTGGAGAATAACACATTTAAATATGCTGGGATTTAAAGGCAGTTTGTAAATGATTTTCCTAGAAATCAAATTATACATCTAATGTATATAATATATATCTTTAACTGTAAGCTGAACGGATGACTTAGCACTGGCTCTGTCCCTTCCTAGCTGTGAGCTGCTTAATGAAACTTTCTGCACCTTTTCCTCACATATAAAAATGGAGATACAATATTAGTTACTTCATAGGATTGGTGAGAGAATTAAATGAGATAATATGAGTTTGAAAACCACATGCTTAGTTCATAATAAGGGCTCAAGGGCTATTATAAATTTTATGGTTAATAAGTTCAAATGATTAACGAAGTATGAGGAGGCTTTGGAATATGCCCTTTTGGTCTTGTTCTTTCCAATTGCATTTTACTTAGTGCATAATGTAGCCATCATATTTGTACTATATTTCAACCTATGCCATAAAATATTACATATTTTGTTTGGGGATTAAAGCGGTACTTCCAACTGTTAAAATTACTCAACTTTTTTTTTTTAAAATTTTTTTTTTTATTAATTTTTTTGAGAAAAAAAAAACAAGAGAGAGAGAGAGGGAGAGAGAGAGAGAGAGAGCGCGGGGGCGAACAGGGCGGGGGGGGGGGGGGGGAGGGTCAGAGGGAGAAGCAGATCCCCCGCTGAGCAGGGAGCCCGATGCGGGACTCAATCCCGGGACTCCAGGATCATGACCTGAGCCGAAGGCAGTTGCTCAACCAACTGAGCCACCCAGGCGCCCAAAATTACTCAACTTCTTTATGATGAGGGAAAATGAAAGGAAATAATGCCTCTTGAACAAACATATTGTCCTTTCTTCCTTTCTCTTTCTTCCTTCTTTTTCTTTCTTTTCCCTTCCTTCCTTCCTTCCCTCCTTCCTCCCTCCTTCTTTCCTTCCTTCCGTTCCTCCCTCTCCCCCTCCTTCTCCTTGTTTTATCTAGGGAATGGACAGTACTCACTTTGGAAGAGCTGGTGGGAATAATGCCATTTGGAAAGTTTACACACAGGCTGCTTAGCACAACACAAGATAGTCCTGAACTGTCAGCTCCCAGGGTCCTTGCATGGCCAAATGACTCTTAGTTTCCTAAAATTAGTCTAAGACTATTTTGTTAACAGCAATTTGAATAAACTGACTCACATGCCACCGTGATTTAATGTCTGCTTTGCTACTGAATCAGCCATGTTTGGCCAGCCTTGCCGTCTTCACATTTTTCTTTGTGTTTATCCTTAAGCTTAGCAACCAACCAAACACGGAACGGAATATCAGTATTTAAGAGGAAAGCATATTAGCTTACTAACTGTTCCACTGAGAGACTGAGTTTGTAGCGTTTACATTTTTGTACTTCTTTTTGTTTTACTTATGATATTCTTAATGTATGAAATTTTGGCTCCCCCCCTCCCATTTTCCCAAGCTTTCAAATACTGGTAAAAACATGAACTAGAGATATTTTATGTGTCTCTGGTTCGTCTAAGAGATTGTTGTGTTAAGTGGTGAGTATACAAATAGAACAGGAGAACAATTTTATTAAAGAATCAAAAAATAACAAATATGTAAACAGGAAGGATGGTTATCTTACAGCTGTGACAAAAATTAAAAGCCTTCTCCCCAACCATGTAAATAGGTTTTGTTTTTTTGACCAAACGGCTATAAATCTGTATTTGACACAAAAGCGTTTTGTTTACTGAAAGCAAATTTTTAACAACAGGTTTTATTTTTATGCCACCAAAAAAATTATGTCACACATTTGTAATCATAGAATTATGGTCTTTGTTTTACCTCGAAAAGGACTTGAAAGTATTTACTCCAAACCCGCTTTACATATACTAAAAATATAACATTTTTTGAAAAAAATGTAAGCGATCCTGTGTTATTTCAGGCATCTAATTGGCCTAGACAAGGGAAAAGTAACCAGCGTTTTTTTGCATCAGCTCTGGGTTCTGAATGGCGTCTCTTCCACCAGTCAGAGAAACCTTTAGAGTTTAGCAGGGTCTTTCACGATGAATATATTCTATACCCTCACTTTACAGATAAAGAACCGGAGGCCTAGAGTAAGGGACCTGTTTAAGGGCCGGGGCTCTCCAGCTACCGCGGCCACGATCTTCCCCCAACTTCACGATTCCGCAGGCTGCTGTCTACCTGCCATGCCTTTTTTTTGTTCACGACCCACAAAAACATAATTTCGAGTCTTTGGGAAAGGTGACAGGAAAATCGCAGGGCTCCGGAGATGTTCTCCTCCCTTCCCTGACCCGTTTGGACTCCCTTTTCTTCCCTCCGCCGCGTCCCCAGCCGCCCCGCGGAGCCGCGCTGCGGGCAGAGGCGGCCGGCCCGGGCACGTGTCCTTCTCCGCCAGAGGACACTTCTCCCGCGGCCGCTGCCCGGCGCCACAGGCCCCCAGCTGGGCCAGGCCCGGCTCCTGGGCCGCGTGATGCAGCCCAAAAAAGGTGCAGCCTCGCACGTGTCCCAGCCGGCGCCCCGGCCTCTGGCGACCAGGCCTCCCGCGCCGCCGCCCAATCGCCGCGGCCGCCTCGCGCTCGGGCCACGTCCGCCGGCCGCGGGGGCACCGACACGCGGAGCTGCGCCGCCCGCCGCCATGCGGTTCCGGTTCGGGGTGGTGGTGCCGCCCGCGGTGGCCGGGGCCGGGCCGGAGCTGCTGGTCGTGGGGTCGCGGCCCGAGCTGGGGCGCTGGGAGCCGCGCGGGGCCGTGCGCCTGAGGCCGGCGGGCACCGCGGCGGGCGCGGGGGCGCTGGCGCTGCAGGAGCCCGGCCTGTGGCTCGGGGAGGTGGAGCTGGCGCCGGAGGAGGCGGTGCAGGACGGGGCGGAGCCGGGCCGCGTGGACACGTTCTGGTACAAGTTCCTGAAGCGGGAGCCGGGAGGAGAGCTCTTCTGGGAAGGTACTGGGAGCTGGCGTCCGCCCCGGGCGCGCACCGGCGGCTCCGGCCTCGGCCTGGGGCGGCCCGCCCGTGCCCGCTCCCCCGGCGCTTTGCCCGCTTCCCCGGCTTCGAAAGCCGCCCCGAGCTCCCCGGGCTGACCCTTGGCTGCGGGCCGAACTGTCGCCGCCCGCCGCGCCTCGGGCTCGGGAGGCGTCCCTAGATTCGTGCTGGGTCCCGGAGCGCCGGCCCGCGCCTTCGCTCTGTGACCCTCCGCCTCTTTCCCACACGCCCGGTTCCCGGGGTGTTTCCTGGCGTGCCAGCTTCGGGGCCCAGTTTCCTAAGTCTCCCCACGCCCCCTGCCCCGGGTCCTCCCCGCGCCAGTCCCCGGCCGCCTGGCCCGCCCCGCGGCTCGCGGGTTCACGCCTGAGCTCTGCCTTAGTGGTTTCTGTGTCCTCATTTCCACTCCCAGATCGTTCACTAAGGAACGACCCAACCGGTGAAGCTAGCCTGTTCTCTAGTCCACGCGCCACCTAGTGTGTGGTATTTCTTTTCCTTCCTAGATTTGAGAGTGAACCAGTGCAAAGACATTGAGTGTTTCGCTTTTTGGATTTTTGAATGTATTGATTTTTATAAAAACAGTATGTGCTAGTTGTAAAAAAAAAAACACAACAAATTTCAAGACAAAAACTTGTTTCCTCCACACACCTTAAGCCCACTGCCTTCTGCCCAATATATGTGTGTCTATCTCTACCTGTCATGTATGTAATATCTTGCCTTTTCTTGCTTAACGATATGTTGCGGATACTTTTTAGTGTCACTCCATATAGATGTATTTTATTTTTTAAAAAGGCAACAAAATATTGTGTCTAACTAGTGTGCATTTAGGTTGTTTTCGTTTTCCTCTGTTGTAGACTGTAGTAAGTAGCTTGATTGGAAGTCCCTGTATGGAGTTATCTTTGAGTATTTGGGAGTGTTGCTGTAGGGTAGATTCTGAGAAGTGAAATTGTTAGGTCAGAGTGTGGCCATATTTTATATTTCAGTAAAGACTGCCAAATTATATTCTGAAAAGGTTATACCAATGTAGACGCCCCCAGCGATGTGTGAATTCAGACAGCTCTTTCTTAAATGTGTACAAAGCAGAGGATTAGAATATGTGTGATTCAATAGTTGTCTAAAGCTGATGAATGTCTCTTTAGAAGTATGTGCTTCGGTGAGCGCTGTGAATTGTGTAAGACTGATGAATCACAGATCTGTACCTCGGAAACAAATAATACATTATATGTTAAAAAAAAAAGTTAGTAGGAAGGGAAAAATGAAGGGGGGAAGCGGAGGGGGAGACGAACCATGAGAGACTATGGACTCTGAGAAACAGGGTTCTGGAGGGGAGGGGGGTGGGGGGATGGGTTAGCGTGGTGATGGGTATTAAAGAGGGCACGTTCTGCGTGGAGCACTGGGTGTTATGCACAAACAATGAATCGTGGAACACTACATCAAAAACTAATGATGTAATGTATGGTGATTAACATAATAAAATTAAAAAAAATAAAATGAAAGTAAGTAAAAAAAAAAGTTTATATGACAAAAATGGGCCATTTAGTCCATAACGATGTGGAAACAAAGAATCGGTAAAGAACATGAGTATTCTGTAATACGTTTATATATTATTATCCTTGTCCCACTGGGTTTTATGGACGGGTGGCGTTTATTGTCATCTTGTATTACCATGCCTGCATGGAAAGGTATCCTCACCAGTTTATGCCCTTCTTTACAGGACAACTTTTATTAATAATATTATATAACATTTTTCACAATAAAATATCTAATAATTTTAATAAAAATTAAGGACTTCCCCCTCTCTAGTCCCCCTCCTTTACTATTTTTAGCTTTTCTGATATTCCTCCCAAAGTTCTAAATAATTTGCTTATATTGCTATTTCTTAATGTATCAAGTTTAACTTTTCTGTTCTTAGATTTTCTGAGTTACTATATGTTATATATAACATTCTAAAATTAAAATTAGACAATATCTACTGACAGCTGTGTATCCATAAATTTAACCATCATACTTGGTCTGAAATATGAGGAATTTAACTTCATTATCTCTTTCCTCCCTGCTCTTTTTTATATACTTTATATAAAAATTATATATGTATATAATTGTTGACTTGCTATTATGTAGAAAGTTCTGTGTTATAATAAAACTATTATGTAGGAAGCTACTCCTGTATAAGAAGATAAGAAAAATAGCTGACACACATTCTTCTCCTTCTCCTTACTTTGGCTAATTATTTTCTCTACATTGGCAAGTTTTTATATAATTTATATTTTGTTTTATAATTGTTACTATTCCTTCTTGTTTTAGAGTGATAGGTTGATTCTAAGAATGGTAAATTAACAAAGAGTATTATGAGAAAAATCATAGTCAGTATTTAAGAGTAAGGATTCTGGAACCAGAATGCTTGGGTTCACCAACCCGTGTATGACCTTGGGCAAGTTACTTAACCTTACAGTGCTGTTGTTGAAAGAACTAAGCTGGCTAATAAATCTAAAAAAATTAGAATAGGGCTTCTATTAAGTGTTAAATAAGTGTTAGTGATCGTTATCTTTACTGTTATAATTAGGAAATAATTACTGCAGAACCAAGTAGTGCAATTCGACTCATAAAAAAGGAAATGTAATTCTGTAACGTGGAACAGAAGGAAGGAAGTCTCTTACACTACAAATCATGATCAGATTTTACTTAAAATGATACCAGGGTTTGTTTTACTTCATGTTTGGGTGGTAATGTTCTTCTACAACTTGTTTAAAAATTTCTAGTTAATTTTTTTTTTTTACCAGAAGCAGCACAGTGATCATCAAAATTTCCTAGCTTGATTGCAGTATTGGATGAATGCAAATTTCTCATTTTTTGAAAATTTTTTTGCCTTGAACAATTGGGATTCTTGTTCTAATTTTCACTGATGTAGAGCTTTCAGAGCACAGCTATCTGGGACTTTTTTTTTTTTTTTAATTGAACTCCTGTGTTAGTTACCTTGTTTTGGATTCCATGTCTTCCTTTTTCTTAAGTATCTTAGTCATTTTGTTGAATTGTATCCTAAAATAATTTTGAAGAAACAGTAAATGGGAGATAAAATATCCAGTTCCTTAAAAATGTCTTTATTTTGCCCTCACACTTGACTGCTCCTTTGGTATTCTAGTCTCAAATTAATTTTCCCTTTGAAAGCTTTGCCTCAGTACCTTGTAGTACCCATTGTAATGGGTAATTGTGATGTCAAACTAAGCCCATTCCTCTATAGGCAATCTGTTTTTTTCCTCCCTCTTTGGAAGCTTTACAACCTTTTCTTAAATTATTTTACCAGGATGTATCTGAGTCTCTTTTGTTTATATCACTTGACAATGGGTTGGCTCTTTCAATTTCAGGAATTGTTTCTTTCAACTCAGGGAAATTTTTTATTTCATTTCCTTCCCTGTTTTCTCTCTTCTTTCCTCTGAAATGGCTGTTTAGCCATGTAAAGTCTAGGTTCTTTTTTTTTTTTTTTTTGTGGGCATCTTGTTCCAGCACCATTTATTGAAAATTCTTTCCTTCCTTTTTTGATGTGCCTTTATTAAAATTCATTTGCCTGTATTTGCACTGATCTATGGGCCCATTCTTTTATCCATGTCACACTGTGTTGATTACTGTAGCTTTATGCGAATCTTGAAATATTAGTAGTATGAGTCCTCCATCTTTGGTTTCTTCAGTATCATGTTGGCTCTTTTTGGTGTTTTGCCTTTTCATTTATGTTTTAGAATCAATTTGTTGATATTACAAATAGCTTGCTGTGATTTGATTGGGATTGCATTGAATATATATATATCAAGTTCAGAAAAATTGATATCTTCACCATATCGAGTCTTTCAGTCTCTGAATGGAGAATACATCTCCATTTAATTAGGTCTTCTTTGATTTCTTTCATTAGGGTTTTGTAGTTCTCCACATACAGATCCTGTACGTGTTTTGTTAAATTTATACATTTTGGGGGTGTGTGTGCTATTTTAAATGGCGTACTTAAAAACTTGTTTTAATTACAGATGTCAATTGTTCATGGCTGATAACATAGGAAAGAAATTGACTTTCACATCTATTGATTTTTGTTTGGATGCTGGATATTGTAGTTTTTCATTATTTTAGAGTTTGGAATTTTTTTTTCTGGCAGTAAAGTTATTTGTGGATTAGTTTGTTATTTTTGAAGTTTATCTTGAAGGTTTATAAAGGCAGGTCTATAGTAGCTTTTACTGTAGGGCTAATTTAGCCCTACTACTAAGCAATGACCCTTCTGTGTTCTCTTTTGAATGCCCCATATATTAAATAAGATCTCCTCACTCTGATGGAAATGCAAATGTTTCCCAATTCTGTGTGAGCTCTGCCAGTTCTTTGGAATACAATATTAAGAAATTTATTGTTTGTTTTTTGTATGGCTTCCCATTTGTTCTTTGTATGGCTCTATCAGATTTCATCTTATACATCCACAGATTGGCATGAAGCCAAAGAATCTAAGAGAACTTTATGCAGATTTATGGAACTTTCTCTTCAAGGCTTTCTCATTTCTGGAATTTGGTCCTACAAATTCCAATCACTCTGTTCTCCCCAAACTTGAATTTCTATTTCCTTAATCACTGAGACCATTGAGTTCTATTTGAATCCCCTTCCTGTGTCATGGTTCAGAAATTCTCTAGGGGCAGAAATCCATGGCATTCATATTGTTCACCTTGTTTCTTTTTCTTCTCTCAGAGATTAAAGTCCTGTGCTGCCTTTTGTTCCACATTTAAAAACAATTGTTTCATACATTGTGCCATTTTTTTAGTTGTTACTTTTATAAGCAGGAGAAGAAATCTTGGACTGATTTTTGAAAGTTTGCAGGTAGGTACTTTTCCAGTATATTTTTAAAATTTTGCAAAAGAATTCCTGATTTTGTTGTTTATTTCTAATATAATTATGTATATGTGTGTATATATATGTACATGTATTCATACGCAGAGACA